CTTCCTAAAGGAATCCCCCGGAGGGTTCCACCACCTATTTCAGGCGTTCCCCTGTTAGGAATCAGGCACGGATGGACAATCCAATCCAAACGCAATTTGTCATACGAGCTTGTTGAGGCGCTGTGTGATAGGAACTTGTTCGGGACAAACTCACTGCGAAGTCAGGCATATTCCCTGAAAAAGGTTGGCCCCCAAAACTCAAACAGCTTGGAAGCATCCCATTACCCTAGTCAAGGGAGGTTCCAATGCAATGCTACTTCGCCAATGACTCCCAAACTGCTTGGGGAAGGGGTCTTGTGGTAGTGCCACCGAAGGCTCGCTGATGACAGCATTGTGCAGAACTTCGTTCCTGAGGTGGGGCTGGGCACCGATTTCACAGCTTAACCAACCTGGTCCAGCATCTGTTTCACCCCGTCTGAAGGGATCCACAAACGCAACGGCCCTTCAAGAGATCCCTTTGCCTTGCTGCATTGCGCCTAAAGAATTTGATTCTGCAGCATGCGGGGACGGGTTCAGCCCCAAACTAGAAAAACCCCCACTGCTTTCCAAAGGAATAGCTTCCGTCTCAGTTGCCGGATGCTTAGAATTGAGGAGCTCTGAAATGTGCTTGTTTGCTTGACCTGCATTCCAGACCTGCGCCACCGCTAACCATGACACGCTCCGAAACAGGTCTAGGGCCCTCCAGTGCCTGGCTTCTTGGAAAAAAAGGTTGTAACGCAACGCATAGGCTGACCAACCGTTTGTGCAGCACTCCTATTTCCTGAGCCAAAGTTGAAGTGACCTCCGGCCTTTGTTGAATGGGAAGAAGAACGCGCGCTCTATTGATCTTCAATGGCGATGCATAAGTACGTCTGCCAACCAGTGCGCAGGGTGTCCCCGATGCACCTCGCAACAAGGTGGATGCACGAATGCCTTTTGAAAGACTGCCTTTTAGGAAAGGGCTCTGTGCACCAAGCCGTTGGATACACTCCCTCAGACTAACATGGAAGCTCCCCCAATTGGCCTCTGCAAATGGAACCAAGTCTTCCAAAGGAGTGGGAGCTCCCATGAATCGCCTGCCAAAGGGGTAAGCTTCACCAAACTCCTGCGTTGGAGAAACTTCCACTTTTTGATTATCTCAAGGTAGATTTAAACTACGGGGTAGTTCCATTTCCCCAAATGGAGCACCCCTGAGTTTAAGTCAACTTTGGGTAATCGAAAAGTGGAGCCCTGCCAATTTTGGCTGTGAGCCCCGGCAAGCCGCAGATGCTGACCGAGGTACGGGGCGGCATCGTCCGCCGCCAGAAGCCGAAGCTTCCACAGGGCCAGGCGCCACTCGCCACGAGAAATGTGCCTAGGAAATGAGCCCAGGCGCCCGGAAAAAAAAAGGAACCCGGACCTACCACTATTGATAGATTCCCTGTACAACCAAGGGAACATATCACAAACACACATACCAAGGCAAATTGAAAACAACTTGCTGGTGCGATAGGCAGGGAATGAGAAATGGAATGATCATTGTATAAACCATTGAACTGGTTTTTCCTTTAAGGCGACCTATTCCTGGGTTCAGTCCCTCATTTCTGACCTATCGCACCAGCAAGCCTTCTTGGGGTTGACATGTGTTGGCCACTTGCCAAGCCAAGCAAAAAGCGAAAAGGGGCGCCACTGGAAGACTCGCGAAAAAGAAACAGCCTCAAACACGTATCCCTCGCTACGATGTTGGCCACCAAACAGAACAGGTCAACGAGCATTTCCCACTACAATCGCCAAGTAAGCGGAAACCTCACTCTGTGCAAAGGAGGAAGAGCATGTTACCGGCAATGTGCTCTGCTCCGCTAAGATAGTATTTTCACACTCTCAAACCGTCAACAGGCATTTCCCATTGTCCCACCAGCATAATATTCATAGAAGAAGACACAGGCTCAACATGTCAACGGCCTGATGTCTCAATAAGATGCGACTCAAACACATAACAACATAAACATATAAGTCCAGCAAGTCAACAGGCGCTTTCAACTCAAATGATGTTAACAAAGCAACATCCAGACAACGATCATGCCCCACACGATAGCCACTAAGATGATCTTCACACAACACAAACACATATTCATGGTCACACTACGACGATCTTAGTCAACACAAACACGCCTTCCCAACAGGACAGCAAGCATGTCCAACCAGGATGATCTCCGCAAACCACTAAACACATTCTCACCACAAACATGCATTTATTCTAAGATGATCTTCACAAACAACACACAACAAACAACCTCATTCATGCCCAGCCAGTCAACAAATATTTCCCAACAAGTAAAATCACATTCACCACAAAAACATGCAGCCAACAACAAGCATGTCCCACTAAAATGATCGTCACAACGAACACGTGCCGAGGAGTGAACACATACACACCCACATATCCCGCAAAGGTGTCATTCACAACAAAGCAGCATATTGGCCCAACAAGTCAACCGCAATGCCCATCTTCACCACAACACACACTCAGCATCAACACATGTCATCAACTTGGAAGTTTGCAACAACAAGGCCCTTCACGCGGGACACTTTGGTAAAGATATCTGTTGTCTCGCAACTTTCTTGAGAACTCCCTTGGACGCTCAATGGATCATCGTGAACGTCTTGGGAGAGACAGGGAACTCTGAACATGCAGTTGACTTTCTTAAGACACACACGCACACACTTGCATTGTTGAACTTGGAGACCCTACCGTTTGGGGCCATAAAGCACGATCACGCCTTATGAAACCAAACAAACAAGCCCTGATCCATGAGACGCAGGGCACAATTGCTGAGGTCGTGATACTGTGAGCACCTGGAGAGATCCAAGGCACGGCGCCAGACGCAATGGACCACGCCCTGCATGGCCTGGCTTGACATGGTCCGCGTGGTTGGCACAAACCAACTTCGAGTGGCCGACAGTCTAAATCGCGCAATCACAAAAAGCCTTGCTCCAAAGATGGCAATTGACTTCAGCCGAGACTGACATCGGAAGTGGACTGTTGGTCCTCAACCGCTTTTCAAAGTCGGGAGTAGATAGAGGGCAGGGTAGTTCATACTGTGGATGGATGAAATCCATTCGCACCACTGTGAACCCATGGTTGAAACCATTGTTTGTTGGTATTTACAGGCCAATCATTCTTCCAGGATTTCTTAGGTGGTGCAGGATTTCGTTCATCCACAGTAGCGACTTCCCATTCCATCTAATCCTCAAAGGGTAAGCTCGTTTTCCCTCCAACCGGGTGATCTCCTCGCACTTTCGGGCAACGCTCCCGACCCCCCGCTGCTCACCCTCTCCGGCCTCCGGGAGCCGTGGAGCGCCATGGCATAGGCGTGCCAGATCTACACTTGGCGGTGAATTTTCATGGGCGAGGTCCTCCGGTAGAGAGGTTAGAATAAGATTACCCTTTTTTCTGTAGTCTATTTTAGTAGGGGAACTCTCCCAAAGAAAAGTAAAAGGACACTACTGGGGGACTTAGATGGTCGGACAGAAACCATGGTGCACATGATGTTCACGAAAAGGCGGGTCCCCTTTTCAAGTCACAGCCACTTCAAGGCTGCTTAGAAACTCGTTCGACGTCCCATTAGTCCTTGTTGACTGTCAAGGTGACCCTACAAAGATTTCGATCAGGGGTCCCGCAATTTGCGCTGACCCCACCACACCCAACGGAAAACTCACTCAACGTTGGCAACCAAAGTTGAGTTGTAAGATGGATAGGGACCTCCGCATCCTGTCTAAACAACTCCACTCCACTACGGCATCAAAATTGGTGTGGTCCGAAAATGCATTCCCGCGTGTCACGCAAATGCCGAACGTTTACATTTGCAATATCCTGTAGGAAGTACGACAGGCCATGTAAGAAGCAGTTTGGCCCGATGTGAACCTGCTAAAGCCGTCCATGGACAGACTTGACTTCCTGGAACCAATAAGCCAAGAGGATCCACGTGTGAGAAACGGCCTCCATTCTGACTTGCGCTCTCACCTCTGCAAATGGAAGTTGACCTTGGCCGCGCAACAATCACATCACCTCAAAGCTTTAATAGAGCTGGAGACCATCAATCCGAAGGCCTCGATTTGAGGGCCCCCTGAAATGGGTTGAGAGGCTACCCTTTTTGCCGACGGAAGGAACGCCCAAAAAACAAAAAAACTCCATTTGTATTGCAGTCCGCCATTTTGACGCACACGCAAATTGCTTGGGGGCCACATCCAATCAACGAGCCAAGAAGCAACGCATTGAATCAGCCAGTGCGACACGGAGGAGTAACCAAGGAAAGAAAGCAACTCCGCTACCCTCGCTACGCTCTCAAAGATGATAGTTTAAGAGGGGGGCAAAAGGACACTAGTATATCTACAAAATCAGACGGCTTCCCTGTCTGTTTAGCGGAGGGTAACTTCAGGAAAACGTGTCAGTCAAGAAACTGGGTACTCTGCCGCTTTCGACACGGGTTTCCCACAAACACGTGAAACTCTTGGCACTTGGAGAATGTGGCTTGACCGATACCCCTATGGATTCCAGGATTTCTCACCCTTGCTCTGGCGCCAGCCTTGCAGGGCTGCAAAGCACTCGATACCTCCTCAGCGGACATCTTCCAGGAAAACCGGCGACAAATATCTAAACTGGGGTAACCACGCATGCACCAACGCACGCACCCACGCACGCACGCATGCGCACGCCCACCACGATGTACCCGCACACCCACCCACGGACGCACGCACGCACCCACTCACCCACGCAAGCGCTAAATACCAAAAAATAGGGTTCCTACAAGATTCCATCCCACCAGATTTTGACACAAATTAGCATCAGAAACGGCCTCCCCAACCAAGACCTTGCACCCCCTGCACCCCCAAAAATCATAGAAGTGGACAAGGGGCCTTTAGAAGAGGATGGTTGGCGGTTCTGCCAAACCCTCCAAACATCCCACCTCCACACCGCTGGAAAAAAGGTCAAACCTCTGGGTCCCCGGTGCTTGGCAGGAGCCGAGGGCGAGTTTCTGAGATCACCTGCGGCACTGGGTGAGCGACATTCCAATGAGCTTTCGGGTGCAAAATTGCCACTGATGTCTCTTTGCTGAATTTCCCAGAGCCCTTCTAAGCAGCCAGGGTTTTGGGGCGGAACCTGGGACACATACCGGAAGTCTTCCCATCCCCCAGTTTGCGCTAGCGCTTGCTGGCCCAGGATATTTTCACGAGCTTTCCTCTCAAGGTCCGTTGCTTCCCGAATTCCTTATTTCAGGTTCGCTGAAAGAAAAAGGCGTGGAAGACTCCTTGTGGGGGAAGAAGCCCCAAACGCCCACTCAGAGGATGGTTGGAAGGGTATCTGCCACCCGGAGCCCCTGCATCCGCTCCTGGGCATGCAACTGGCTCGCTGCACATCTGCCTGGCGAAGCAGTAAGAACAGCTGAAAGATCAGGAGACTCTCCGCACAGATCTGGGTGAGTTGGGATGTTCTTTCCAAAAGACAGTTCCAGTATCTGGGGGACATTCAAATGAGTGGCTCCCATTTTGTTTTTTGGTTTCTGTTCAAACTTCTCCAAAACATTTACACTCAAAACACACACACACACACACAAATCTAGTCATGACTTGCTGGCAACTTTCTGCAACTCCGTGGTCCTGACGACAAAACATAAGATGCACCAGCTGTTCATGCCACCTAGCGTTGCTAAACACATGGCACCGTGAAAGAGCAAATCGACAAGTGGTGCATGAAAAAAAATACAGCTTCAGTCGGGACTGCTCCAACAAGCACGCAACTGCGGCACTTTCGAGGTCTCGCACCTACAAAAGGGGCGATTTGCCCGTGGATGTCACTTCTCAAAGAACGTGCTGATCAGTCGATGTATGTTTGAAGCAGGGGCAAAGCTTTCCGGTCATTCCAAGAAGCCCTGGTGTTACCCTTGCGCCTGCAACCAGTGCTATTAACTCAAAGCCGGACTATGTAAGGAAATGGGGGAACGGTGAAAGGGGAACGGCAATTGCTCTCTAGCAATGCACGTCGTGCATGCACGTGGCTTTTGAAGCGAAGGTATTAGTGTCCTACACTGAATGAATGAGGATTTGTGGGTGTTTAACCTCAAAGCTTGCCATTCTTCAACTCTTCTAGGCAATTCACCGTGCTTCAAATCTGGAAATGAGGAACACCCGCTAGGGAACCTTCCAAGGGTGTGCTCGGTTCATCCCTAGGTGAGCCCCATTGAAATGCGGGGCAACCAACCATCTGCTAACGCGCTGCCTGCCTGCTCACCTGGCGAAATGGCCATAGAGCCCGCTCCGGTGTACACGGAAGGGAAACCAAGGATGACTAGGGGCAACCTCATCCTATGTTGCGTCTATGAAATACAATGAATCAGATGCCTGGCTTTGGTATGTAGATATGTACATTGTATGCTACATGCCCTGCCAACCCACCTCATGTCGGTCATGTCGCCGTTAAAAACCCGCAAACAGATTAAAGGTAGGACTCACCTGAATCACAGCCCGATGAGATCTGGCAGATTCTGGCAGGATCTTGCATCTTCGAGCCAGCTTTTGAACAAGCCATGGGACATCAACCATTTTTTGTTGCCAATATTATTCTGCCATTGGTCAATTTCTTCTGTGGCTGGTTGGCAATATAAGAAGTACGCCCATGTCAGTAAACAGAGCTGGCCACACATCCCTTGGCGGTTGAATGTGTTGTTCTCAGATGCGGCAACTTGCTCTGTGGCAAGTTAACTCTTCTCCGGGCCAGCCCAACACCCCCGGCAAAGGCTCAACTTCTTGCAGGTTGAAAGGGAACGCGACGAGGACCACCAAAAGGGCAACAGGTCAACGGGTAAGCTAAGTCTGCCCGCCTTGCTTGAAACGCGTGTATAATTCCAGACCTCATCTCCACACTTGCCCCTGGATTGTCCCCTCAGGAAGCCCAAATGGGTATATATGGTCAAGGGTTCGGAAGTCCCAGCCCCCACCCCTCCCCCCCCATGGTTCCCAGTCCTCCCCCCTTTTGTGGTGTGGTTTAGGGTTGGTTTATGGTTGGTCTACAACCACCCTTCCCTGTGGTGGGGTTGTAGTGGTTTAGACTTGGTTTAGGGTTGATCTAGTTGTAGTGGCTTAGGGTGGTTTAGGGATGTTTAGGGGTGGTTTAGAGTGTGTTTAGTGTTGGTTGAAAATTTGTGTTTAGGGTTGGTTTAACGTTGGTTTATGGTTGGATTAGTGTGTATTTATTTTTGGTTTAGGATATTTGTTGTGTTTGTTCTTCTTTTTTAAATCCTTGGTGCAGGGTGGGTTTAGGTTAGTTCCAGGATGGTTTAGAGTGTGTTTAGTGTTGGTTTAAGATATGTGCTTAGGGGTTGGTTTAATCTAAGGTTGGTTTACGGCTGGTTTAGGGTTAATTAAGTTGGTTCAGGCTTGGTTTAGAGTGTGTGCAGAACGTGTCAAGTGTTGGTTTAAGATGTGTGTTTCGATCTAGTTTAGGGTTGGTTTAGGGTTAGTTTAGGGCTAGTTTGGGCGAAGGGCGTGCCGAGGTGCGGGTTCAGGGATTGAAGGGGCCGGGGTCTGGGGACCTGGGGGTCGGGTTCGGGTTTGGGGGGGAGGGAGGGAAGATACCATTGGGGGGGGGGGGGGACTGGGAACCCGGGGCCCGGGACCATATATGCTGAAAAAGGATACCCCCGTCCCCAACAAAAAAACACAAACAAAGAGAAGAAGAACAGACCACTGGGGTGTTCCTTTGGTTTCCATCTCCAAGCTGCAAAGGGTCAAGAAACACATGCTTGGCCATATCTGTTCCTAGGTCCTCCAGTAGAGAGGTTAGAATAAGGGTACCCTGTATAGTCTATTTTAGTAGCCCAAAAAAAGGGTAAAAGGGCAATATCGGGGGACCTAGAATCTGTTTGCGTCCCATTGCCCGCCTCCCTGGGTTGCACCAAGGGCCAAAGAATAGCCCAAAACGTCCGACAGGCCCCGTCAGGTCCCTAAAAGGGTGACCTTGCCAACCCGATGGCCGTGGGAAAAAAGTGCACCTTGTTTTGATCTTGCAGGGAACCTCCCTCCCTAATCTGGGTGAATCCACCATGTCTGGCTGACTCCTCGCCAATCCCCGCCCAATCTCTCCGCCTGGGGCTCTATGCAACTGGGCTCTCCTGAGGATGGAAGCAGGACAACTCCAAGTATCAGCACCCTCCAGCATCTGCTTGTTTTCATGTCCAAAACGCCCAAAAACCCAAATACTTTCCAAACCGCAGTCGCTGCGGGGATAGTTCATTCCCTCAATGTCGCAAGCCAACCAAGTACCAAAATACCATGGGAAGTGAACGGGTGTCCGTGGTTTCTTTGAAACACTGGCGTGAATCCACCAATCCGAAAAGCGCTCGGGGAGCATTGGCGAAACTTTTGGATGTAGCCTTCTGTTTCCAAACGTCCAACGAAGTGTTGTGATACCAAAGGAGCTCCAATTGGACGAGGACCGTAGTGGAAGCTCCCTGGGACCCTATGAATAAAATGTGTTGTCCCAAAACCATGTGTTGTATGTATGTGTATATATATATATATATATACAGTAGCACATATTATGATATAAAATATTGCAGGTGGAAGGGTTGTATTGGAACTATTTGGTGGCTGGCTTGACCGGCAAAAGTTCAAGCCTTGCCCTTTGCAAATTCGACCCAGGGAGCCCCCCAATGCCAATGCCCTCCCCAATTGGCTGACTGTTGGCGGCTCGCGTCGATATGTTGACCGAAACTCATATAAAGAGGAAACCTAGCCACGCAGTTCAAAGGGGAGCCCTTCCCAACTGAAGCTCATGGACTGGGAAGGCATGCCCTTGTGATCTGTTACAGATCCAAGATCCAACCGGACGAAAACAAGCCTGGTACAGTACCATCCCTAACCCACAGCAAATATGCAAGACATAGTTACTCCGAACTGAGATGTTGGCCTCCCTCCAAGAAACGGTGCACAGGAACCTTCCTTCCAGTCTTCCTAATGGACTGACTCCTGGACCCGAAATGAGAAAACACCTGTGGTGCCCATGCAACGCCCGGCGCGTGACTCCAATTGCCCACGTAGCTTCAACCGAGATCCACTATTCGCGGTTGTCTTTTCCTGCACTCTGTCAAAACCATCGTACCCAATCCCCCACCATGGCACCCCTGGGGCCAGGGAAAGCGACTCGGCTGCAAATTTGCAAGCTGGATCCTCCCGCAAATCTGGCAGCGACCCTGGTTTTAAACAGGAATCCTTTTGCCCCTTTTCGGGGTTGACGGTTTTTAGTGGGAAACCCAACAAACAGGGTACCACTGATAAACTAGGTTTTGGCCAGCCGGCTCACCCCCTGCATTTTCACAGCCATCAGAAAAAACAAGGTGGCACCCCCTGTATGGGGGGGGGCCGTGGGTTTTACCATTCAACCTTGTAGAAACGTGATCTTTGTCCGCGAGCCGCGCTGCATCGCGTGTGCTGAGCGGGTGCGCTCGAGTGGGTGCGATTTGGCAGACGAGTGTGCAGTGCTGAGCGGGTGCACTTGAGTGCACTTCCCATTTGGCAGGGGGTGCACTCGAGTTCCTCAACAACTGCCCAAAAAAGCGATATGCGAAACACCACGACCCCCTCGCGGGGTTGACACCACCAACAACAACTCCACCTTCAGGGCAAGTCCCCCAATTTCATTCGCCCAGTCTTCCTAACGAAAAACACGACCAATAAAGCTGCAAAACCCACCCCCTGGCACTCATCCCATCTTGAACAGGCGGGGATCGGAAAAGAAACGGCGCCTCGCACGGCTCGCCGACATTCGCGGGCCCGGCCTGCCCAGGTTGCGGGCAGCCCGGCAAGCAACGCCTCCATCTCGTCCAGGAGCCTGCAGAGAGGTCCGGACGGATTCGTCGGGGTTGGATATGCGACAATCCATTTTTTATGGACAATTATCATGTGTCAAACTGGGGAGATAGATGATTTGTTGTTTTTGAACCAGCCCCTTTGGGGTTCCTTATTTAAAACATGATGCCACTGCAAACTTCAACTTTGGTAGCCTTGGTTCCTTGAGCATGCAAATTCTGGGATTTCACAAAACGAGGGGACCCCCCGGGCAAAAAAGAGTAGCTTGCGCACACACACACACACACACGCGCGCACACACACACACCACACACACAAACAGACACACAGACACACACAGACACACACGCCCGCTCACCCACCCATCCGCACGCAATCACAGCCAGCTTCCCTGATTCTTTGAAAGAGGGTAAAGGCAAGAAGTAACTAGTAAGTATCTTGACCTAGAGAAGAAGACGTTCTATGGAGAAAAACATATAATAACATGTTTTTCACTCACTTGTGCCTTACCTCCGCTGGCCAGCGCTTCAGCGGAGACACCCGGCCTGGCGCGCTGCTCCAGGGACGCCTCCCACTCCGCCAGGTCCTCCTCACACGGGTCCTCCCGGCCGGCTAGGCCGTCGGAAGCACAGCGTTTTGGAAAAATAGATGGCCCTGGGAAATGGAATAAAACCCATCTAAACCAGTGCCTTCTATTTTTAACATTTTTTAGCCACACTAACCTAAAAGGGACACCTATGGTCGGAAGCAGCCACCCCCCGGTTAGGCACCTGCCGAGGGCGTCTGGTACCCTCCCTTCTTTTGCTTACGGATGGGCATCCTGCGAAATGGATGAACACCTGGGAATACTGGAAGACACCACCTACCAACTGCAGGATTTCATTGAAATCAGTACCTCGGCTGGACGCCACTGCTCGACCACAGGACTAGCGCCTCAAATCCGATACCGATGACACCTCCTGAACACTGGCATGGATGAGGTTCCTCAAAGCAAGACTCCTCCGCTTGTCTCAATTGGGTGCTGCTGGGGTTCCAGCAGTGCATGTATTCCTCATCATATTCCTTCAGCACAAGCATAATTTGGACGAGAAGGTGTTACACCAACATAACCAAGTGGCCAGATCGACTCGGGTGTGTGACGAGGCCAGGACGGAAGCCCAGCAGGCAATCAACTTGCATGGGCAGAAATCAAGGATGCTCGGCGCGCTGCAGTGACGAGCGCCCCTGTTCGATATGATCAGGCGCAAAACTGTGGGCTTATCGGCCCCCATGTGTACTCACAACTGGAGGCAGGCAAATGCACACTTTGCGCTGAAAAACTGGGTACATAACTACAACGCCAAAGCTCGAACGTGTGTGAGCAATTCGCAAAGCAGTGAGTGGCTCGACATGTTTACACCTTTTCGTGCAAACTGCAGCATTAACTTAAATAGGGTGCCAAGGACCAACGCAGCTTATGCTAAGGACTGATGCTTTTTGTCAAGTCCTCGGGATCGTGATTAATGCCAAAGCCAGTGTTCAGCTGGTGAATTTTGGCTCGTGTACGCAGATCAATGGCAAAGCAAATGATATGGATATTGTTTATTCTTGCTTCTCGCAGCCGCGATATGGATATGCTTTTCAGCTCAAACGCACATTATAGATTGCAGCGCAATGTGATGTTGTTCCTTTGATTGCGCAGGTTGCAAGAATGTCTTGCAGGAAAATTCGCGCCGCAGGAAGACGAATTCAGAAATCTTGAGTGTCAGCCCACGCAGTTCGGGCTTGGCGCCTTTGCAGACAAAGGCCTTGATTGCACAAGCGGATCAAATCGCCTTTGCCCTTCTGTGAGTGTCAGACCACGAGAAGTGAAGCCAACATGCTGGCCACGAGTGAAGCGGCAGTATCGCTATCGTACCAAGTCTGGGTATGTTCTTTGCCCTGAATACAAATAATGTTGGAGGAAAGCCCCCGGTATAGTCCTGCCACGAGATATGCTAGGTTGAAAAAGCCGCTCACATAGCGCTGCAGGTCCAACAAAGCTCAACAGGCGTGGAAGTTTCATGGGCTGCACGAAGGCATGAAAGGCGAGGCTGATTCCACAGGAAGACGGCGGAACGTGAGTATGAAATTGCCCAACACAAGGCGATTTCTCCTGTGGAGGCTGTCAGTTCTAGCAGGTAACACACAGCGACGGATTTGCACAACCCATCCCTCCATTCTTGCATGCTCAAGCTAGTGTCCCAGCGCCACACACGACCCGCACCAAACAAAGAGAGACACAGTGGCACTGAGGCCCGAACTGAATACACCTTTATCGCAACTCTTCCCTGTTGACCAGTAGACTATGGCGCGTATTGACTGTTGCTCACTTGAACACAACTTCCCATCACACCCCCTGGTTCTACATTGTCCACTTTCCAGGGGAATCGTTCAAACAGGGGCCCCTGAATGGATGTGGGGTTGATCAAAAGGTCCTTTACACGGGATGATCATTGGGGAAAGCCACTAAAAAGATGATCTTTCCCCACTGAACGGAAAAAGTTGCCCATGGTCATTTAGGGGTTTGAAATGGAATATTGATCAACCCCTAGGTGCTCCCTATTCGCAAGGTGGTGCATCCCGAAGCCGCCAAATTCCCCCAATCCTTTCTCGCAGAGGTGGAAGCGCTCGCGCGCGAGGGCGTCAGCGAGAGGCCCGCCCAGTCGCCACCCTCGGAAAGAAAAACAAAAAAAGTACCCAGGAACCCTCCAACATCCTACCTGAAGGGGCCCCCCTGTGCCACTTGTCTAGTCTTCCGTGTAAAAAAAGGAAATGGAGCCATGAATGGATTTCCTCGGGTCACCCCCCTTCCCCAATTCCATTTTTAAATGGGTGGGGAGGGTCCAACATTTTGAGCTTATCCGAAACCCTCCCCTGCAGATTCCTTTAAGGGTTCGGGGAATGCTCGAAAGGTATGGAGGGCTGGGTGGAGATGTTTGCTGGGAAGTGGTCTTTTAGTTAAAGTTTTGAGTCCGGTACCCCTGGAAACATCACGCTACATCTAGCTTTGACTCTCCCTGCCATGCCATAGAAGGACAACGCACGTCATCCTTTCTCTCACTTCAAATATGAGGCCTCAGGTGGTTACTGATAAGTCATCCTTCTCGGCTGACAGAGGGTTGGCACTACTCAACTCCTGCGTACGAACGTGCACTAACCCGCATGGGCACCAATCAGCTCCAGCTCTTGCTGAGGAGATTCATCAAAGGCATGCACATGCTCACAATGCCCCGCAGCTGCCGTCCAGCTCCTATAGAATCAGGAACCAGACAGCTTCTTCATGCGCACACAAATGGAGGCTTATCCGCAACGCGTGAAGCAACACAGTCTGCAGAAGGGAACCGGTACTCAGCCCCAAGTGACCATGGCTTCAGCACTTAAGGCCGCTTTGCGCGTTGCCGGGGCATCAGCACAGTTTTTGGGGGTTATGCCAATGTAGACACACACCCAGACCTACAAAGAATTTCCATGGAGACAAAGAAGGGCAACTTGGGCTAGTGGATTTTAACGTGGTCCAACGGCAGGAGATTCTCTTTGCATAGGGAAACCCCCTTCTGTACTAAGCCTCTGGAAGCGAAGAGCACCTTCCTTCGATTGACTTGCGGGACGAGCAAAGCCCGCTCCAAGGGGACAAAAGTGCACCCATTCCTTTGGTAGCGATGGTGCCGGATTTGGAAGGGATTCAAATGGTCCAAAAACCTATCCTTGGTACAGGGAAGCTGACCCCATGCAAAAAACTCGCTTCCAGGCTGTTTTGGAGGGCACCTTCTCCGAATGGTCAGGCTTCAACCTGAGAGGAAGCATCTTCATGGCACGCTCTTGGATTTCCGCTTTTTTGTGGGGGAAGCCAAACGTCCAACCTCCCTGTCATGGGTATGTGCCAAAACTAGGAAGCATGTGCAAATACTAGCGGCCTCATCCAAATATCCAAACCCTTGCTTTCCTTGCAAACCTGCCGCAGGGCCCGCTTCATTTTGACACGCTGCCATCTGCCGCGGTGTGCCGCCTTTGAGTGGGATACCGAAAGGGGTCCTAAGTTTGGCGGCCCCGCCCATCAGTTTGTATCGCTCGCAGTGCCTGCTTGGTGCTGCTTGATCTCTCCTGCAAATCCAAATGGATCAGCACGCGTTCTCTTTTGATTCAAGTCCGAGTGACCCAATTCCAGGTAAAACAAGCGCTGGTAGCGTGGTAGCGTCCGAATGTGACACAGGCCAAGCAGCCGGTGCTTGGCACCCTGGATGCTTGTGGGGTTCAAGGAAAGCACACATGGGTGTTTCGGCCGCGATGTCATTGTCTCTGCAGAACTGCGGGCCTGACATGACTCTGGCTGCCATTTGACAAAAAGAAGTCACCCACGCCAAATGCAAGTATCTACCGTGTCATCCGAAAACCAGCTTGGACACACGACAGTCGGACCAGCCCAAGTGACCCTGATGATTGGTTGAGCTGCACAGGCAGCAAGACCGACAAGGCCGACCTGCGCCCAGAACAGTGTTGAATCGGTTGGTCTTTGACCCCTTCAAAAAGTTAAGGGGGTGTTGGTCTGTGGGGAATGCATTGATAATTGCCCAGTGCTATCCGCAACGGGTTCCTTTTGGAGGAAACCTGGCTTCCAGGAGTCTCCCAGGATTCCTTCGAGGGTAGAACGAAGGTCAAACCAAGCAGCCGACGAACTTTCTGAGAAGCTCCAAGGTCAAATCAAGGCACCGGGCGGCTAGGGATTCCCTTTACTCAGTCAGATAGCAAAGCAGGGGCTAGTGACTAAGGGAATCAACCCCGAGAACATATCCAAGTTTCGCTGGTTTCTTGCGAGGCGCCCTGTTTGGCTTTCACCTGTCCACCACCTTTGCAAGGTGCCAAGAAACAATCATCTCCTGGTACATGCAATCGGGTTTGCGCCTCATCTGAGGAAACTGAAGTCAGCGCCTAGCACGCAGTCCGATTGTTCTTTGGTTCTACAAACACGTGACAACACTGCTTTTGTTTTTAAGAAAAAAACCCTCACCCAACCCCACTCCACTGGAACACAGTGCTGTCAATCTGCTGACCAGAAAAACCAAGACCTATTGTGGCGAAAAGGCGCGGGGGCTCCCGAATCCGCATCCCGAGCTCCTGCTTGGTGCCCAGGGAGATTGTATCCAAGTCCTTCCCACTCGGGGTCAAATCCGCGAGTCCGGGTGTCTCTCGGAGCCCTTCTCACTGACTTGGTGGTCAGGCCTTCAGGAAAAGCCAAGGCAGCTGGAAATCAGTATGGTGAATCCCTGGCCAGACTAACGCCATGCAATATGGCTTGTGCTTTGCTTTATCTGTAAAACGATCCCAAGGGCTCCCACAAAGAAAGACAAGCACCTAAATGTCACATGTCAAACTCGGACATCCTGAGGACGGCTTCGAGTCCAGATTTTCGTCGGCAAAGAGAGAGAGAAAGAGAGAGAGAGAGAGGGAGAAAACAATATCGCGCAAGGCTCACGTCCATAGCATTCACCCCCACCCAAACGCGTCTTGGCTGACTTGACATCCTATGCTGGCAGGGAGCAAGCCTGTGATGTCCCACAGGGGTAAATGCTTTGCTTCAGCTTTCAACTTGGGTATGTGTCAAAACTGGGAGACCTCTGAAAAAGAGCTTCCGTTTTCCGTGCGTTTCCCTTAAAGCCCTCAACCAAAACACAAATCCCCTTGGAAAGGGCCAAAGACTGGATCTGGACACCCGACTCCCCGAAACTCGAAACTCCTCCTCTCGATGCGGCAAGCTGAAGAGGGCAAGCCTAAGACTGACATCGCCAAAGGAGACGTAGACCCTTGCGCACAGAGAGCTGGTTGCTAGCTGAGAGGGAAAATGAAGGAACCCCCAGGGAAACAAGCACTCCGATCTGAATGGAGTCTGGCGCTGGCGCGCGACCACTCAAGAGAGGCACTTCCAGTCAAATCCAGCCAGGTTATCAGTTGGGCGATTGCCAAGCACATGTCAGGCGGCCTTTTGTCAATGTGGACCTTCGCCTTCACCATTGACAGCTTGCCCGGCCCACAAGTGCCACAAGCGCTTCAGGGGAATTTCCAGGAACCCACAACACGTGTTTCCGAGCCTTCTATACCAGGCTAGGACGCTTCCTTGGGGGTTGCCAAAAAGTTAGTGATCCCACAGTTGTTTTTGGCGGGAAGGTATCCGAACTGCAGTTAGAAGGCCTTGGGAGACGTGAAGGTTGTCTGATAAACCGGCTCCCCCTGCGCTATATCACCACCTGGAAAAAATGCCACCCCTCAGACCCAGACGCGTTGCTCTTCTCGCGAGGGGCTTCAGAACCCTGTGCCTGGAGGTGATGTTCGGCTTGGCTGGTACCGCCTTGAGTGGGTTTGGAAAACATCTGAGAAAGCAGACTTGGACTGGGCTGCCCGATTTCAGATCCCCTACAAAGAAGGGAACAACTTTTGGTGGGTTAAATGGACAACCCCCCACTAAAGCCTAAAAACAACTTAGAACCTAAAAGGATAACTGCGAGCCACAAAGTGGAGTGGGCATCTTGAGACCAAGTCATTGTTCCAATCCTGGGAGACGACTTGCAAGTGGCATGGGAAGCTAACGCACTCGGCTGCATGCATCACCATTCGCTCTGAGGCATGATATGAATGAAGGAACCCCCCGAATTGTAATCGGGTGGGATGCCTTGGAAGGACTACCCCTCCACAAAATGCGGGGATCAAATGTTTCAGGGGTCGATGAATCAAACACCACCCTAAAGTACCCTAAACCCACCCTTGTGAAGTTGCTGTACGTTGCCCTGGCAAACGCGGCAGATATTGACGAAAGGTTGCAGCCTCCATTGCTATTCCCACGAGAAAGGCGGCCTTGCCCTGTTGACATCAAGCAGTGGATGACCCCGAGCACATGTGCTAAATGGGAATAGTTAATTCGGGCTAAATAGGTCCAAAAGTTCATACGACTGGAAGTAAGAACGAAACAGAGAATATGATTAAAGGCGTCTGTAACGGGTGGGCAAATCAAGCGACGCGGGCAATTCAGCAAGCACGTAACCCTGCAGGACTTTGATCCCAATTCGACCCAAGCCGAACCGAGCCCAACTATGCAGGATCTAGGCCTGTGGAGAAAGAAACAAATGCCCTCGCCCTCGACCCATCTTTGCCTATCCCCAAAAGGTCCTCGTTGACCCCGTTGCTCTACCCCACAAATTAACATGGAAGTGCGCAAACCTTTGGAGGACTGATTCTCCTTTTGGAAAAGGGTCCTGTGCATTTCCATTCTTGTTCGGGGCGTAGCAAGTATGGTGGTCTTGTTTTATTAATCATTGCTAAGAGTCAAACATCTAGGGCATCTTTTTTTCATATGTCGTGAGTCCCTCTGAACGCAAGTCGACATGTCTAAGGGTACCTCACTTGGGTGGACGGTTTCTAATCTCTTTGTCTACATCGTCCCACAGGTCCAGGACCTCCTCCACGGCTCGCGCCTGCAGCCGCTGGATCAAGCCATCGAGCTGCTGCTGCCACTCCATCGACGCTCAAAAGAAGACCGCAAGTTAAACCATGGCCCAGCACCTGTCGATTTCCGATAGAGTGGTGAGAAAACATGGGGCAACGTCATATTTTGAGAACTCCCCCTCAAATGACAGGGAGAAGAAAAAAAAAAAACATCACCCCTGTTTTTCTCCAGCCCGCAGGCATTACAAAGCCATCTTTTGCTGGTGAAAAGAACAACCGTGGAACACCGAAAATATTGAAACAAACGGTTTGCCCCACTCTGTGAGGATAACGGCAGGGAGTATGCTTTCACAATCACAGTCAGCCCTCTAGTTGCCTTCTGGTAAATAATGAAGTGGGGGACATGATCCTCACTTGCTGTTGAAAACCGGCAGCGAGTTCAGTGCTACCATCTGCCTGTCAATGTACCACATCCCTTGAGTGAGTCGGTATTATTTTGGGCTCTACTCTTCCGAGACTTTGCTCGAGTGCTTACAGCGGCAAACCCAAGCAAAGCGCCAAACACGGTTTGGGTCAAAGGCATTAAGACTGATTACGCATTCGCTTATACTATCTTCATGTCTTCCTCAACCTGACTTCCCAATGTTTGCTCTGCTACGTGAGGCAACAAGTCCTAGTGGAAACGCGAGCAACCTGATTAGGCAGCAAGAAAAATCCCATGAACGCAACAATGATTCTTCTAGCCAATTGGCAGTTACCTCGAGATCAACACGGCCCAAACTATCAAACCCAAGCGTGGCAACAGGGCTCAGTTGCGGAAAGCACGCTCTACCCGTGCTCGATGGTAGCTAAATCAGGGTGACGCGTGAGGCTGCATGCTGAAAGCCCGTAGCACTTTCGTTTTACCTTGCTGTATGCCTTTTGTCATCTTGCCAAGTTCCATCACTGAAGCACCACCAGGCATAATTACAAGGAGACGACGTAGCTAACAATGGCAAGACACGTGAAACAGCCGTCCCGTGACGAGTCCCGTGTCTCCTCTGAAACTCACAAGCTCAAAGGGAAATCTTAGAGACCAAACACTTGCGGAACTTGCCCAGCGAGCCACTCCCGCTTTTTGCCTGAATTCCATTGCTGAATGAATTCGAGCCATTCGCCGAGCCCGGTGAGCATCGCATGAAAGTCAATCCTTACGTGAGAAACCCAGACCTGGACAGATCTGGACAGCACTTGGGGCTTTGGAGATTGGAAAAGCAGTCCTTGGAGGGTGCTGGCAGTTGAACGTGTAGGGTTGGCCAGATTAGCTTGCACATCCTTCAAAAACCTTGTTGGATCTTGTTGGAAAACTGAACTTATGGTGAACACTTAGATTGCCATTGGCCAAAATCTATGATCTATTGGCAAACCTATAGACTTCAAATTAGTTGGCAGCCCGGGACATTTTGCTGTGTTCTCTAAGTCTACCAAACATGGGAAATTTGGGTGCCCCCCCCCCCAAAGCAAGTGCGGGCCAAGTTGCTAGCTGATCACCTCATTGATCCAAAAGAGCTGCTTTTTTGGCAATGACTAACATGCGGGAATCAATGGGCACAGGCCAATAAGCAAAAGGAGGTTCATTCGCCAGCATGCCCAAGTCAATTCAACTCAAGTCAGCCCTTGGTCTCTTAGGAGGCAACCAATTGCATTTCCTCGCCTTCATCACGATGCCTGGTGAGGCACTGTACAGGGAATGCCCCGGGCACTGGACAAACGCACGCAGCCTTGATCTTACCTGAAGTACAGGCTTGCTGAAAGGATGCCATTTGCGCTGGCCATATCAATAATCAGCCTTACAGCTGAGTCGGAGGAAAAGCCCTGGATCAACAGTTTGATTGAATGGGTCGGGACAGGTCGAAACGGTCGACGGAGATGCGGTCCTGAAACCTAGTCATCCGTTGCTTTTTCATGCAGCGCCAGCTTGCACATTCAGGTTCATGTCGGCTCGCAATTTGAATCTTCTGAATGGGTAGCAAAGTCTAATAATAAGGTTTATGCGGCAGGTGACCTGCCAGCGCTTGCCATTCGCTCAGGCTTTGGTGAAACGAGACTGGCTACATCCAAGGCGTCGCCGAAGCTCTGTCGAACCCACCAAAAAGACATCCCCTCTGGCCCTGACTCAGTTTTGCCCTTGATATAAAAATGCCCAGATATGCCAAATATGCTCCACTAACCTCCAAGTCGGCCCTGAAAATGATCAACCCGAACCAGGCAGCTTGAAACGAACCTCGGCTCTCTCTCTCTCTCACTTTAGCTGGCTGCGGAGGTTCTCCTCGAACCTGGCAATGGCGCCACGAGCGCCGGGAGTCTGGGAGCTTAATACCCCCGCCTGATTCATGGTGTCCCAGCTGAAAAAATGAGGGGGGGGAATGGGGGGGGGGATGGGGGAGGGGGACATTCGTAAGGTATACCAGGACAACCATTTGGGTCGACATTGCGTTGCTAGATCCGTCCACTTGCCAGTGCCACCCATGTTAGGGGGGGCCCTTTCCAAAACAAGCCCAAATCGAGCAGTGCAGCGGACAAGAGCAAGATGACAGGCAATTGTTGGAAAGCCACTGCGCATGACACAGCCCCCGGCATTCAGAAGTTTTGACACTGGTGAAGCAGATCGCAGTATCCCGACCAGAAGCATGACAACATCCTGCACTGTAGTTAACCAACTTGGCTGAGCTTTGGCTGACCTTGATGCCATAGCATTGACTATGAATCAATAAAAGTCCATGACAAACACAACTGGCGTGTCAGCTTTTGGCTACAAGTGCCATCATACCCCTTGGTCGTCCCAAAGACTTACGTACCCTTTCAAACACTGGTACACCATTACGCATGTGCTCACTCTGCTCAGGTGATGATAGCTTTCTGCGCTGGCTCCTACTGTAGTCTCCTTCAAATCAAACGCGTCAGCCCTGAATGCGACAATGTTCTCCCGAGTCTATTCAGCAGATCCTAACAATGAAAACTGATGTCAGCGTTCTTCATCCGGGTTGTACATTTCCTTAGTCAGGGTCTACTGCCAACATTATAATGGGCTAGAACTCTGACTATTCATGATAGAGGCAAAGCTGATCAGTTTGGTAGCCCCTTGGATCTGTCCGATTCCATCCATTCGCCACTCACAACATCGCGCTTTAGGTGCTCAGTGCGAACCCCAGGAAAGCAACCGGCACGGAAAAGCAAGCCGCGTCCCCGCTTGGGCAAGCTCCAAACCAAGGGTTTGGACTTTGGTCCCAACCTTCCTGTTCATCATCATCATCATCATCGTCGTCGTCACCATCGTCGTCGCCGTCACCATCACCACCACCATCACCATGACCATCACCATGACCATTATCACTATCACCAGCCGCAGTTCGGCCCATCCCGTTCCCCAAGGGGCAGGCCGTACAAGCAGCGCACGCAGGGCAGCGACCCCCTCCTGCGATCGATTCGGAGGACCCAGTCGGGCTCCAGTTGGTTGTGTTCTCGCACCAAGTAGCATGCAACCTGACGGAGGGGGGGTCCTGGAAGACCATTCTCCTTTTAATGAGACCCCCTGTCAGGTTCCATGTTCATCGAGGGTAAGGTTGGGAAGGTGGTTCCGCATCCACCCTCTACAAGAACAGGAGGTTCAAATCCCAAAGCACCAATCCGGGTTATAAGCCTGCCAGCTGAGGATTACTGCGTGAACCCAAGTTATAACCACACCAAAAGCCCGTGTTTGTGCACCAAAAGGACCGATGGTTTGAATAGAATGAAGATTGCGAGCCCCCTTCAAGTGAACATTTTTGAGGTGGTCTCAAAATTCCTTTTGGGTTTCCTTTTTTAGCATGCAAAGGGTAGTTTTGATGTACCCTCAATTCCTGTTTAGAGTGGGTGGGCATAATGTGGGAAGCTGCAAGAATTTCTTCTGGCAATCTCGTCTCAGCACACCTGCTTGCTTGAAGAAAATGAAGCTTGCTTGCCAGTGATGTCCATTCTTTGAACCAGGAACCTTTGGCTGCTTTCTCCACCCAGGCCCCCATTCCCAAGGAAATTATTCTTCCAAAAGTGGTCGAACTTGCACTCCAGGCGGTGGGGGAAGAAGACAACATCAAGAGACTGGACACATCTGACCCTCTTTGGGGCCGGCCGTCCGAGCCAGGGCCATCAAACAATACGAAACACAACCCCCATGGCATCCATGTCTCTCTGGGATTCCACCCTCTTCCCTTTTCGTCAAGCTGTTTCGCCTGGGTACTGTCCAGATGTTTGCGTCGTGGGTTCCCTACTTAACCCCCAAAAAGGCCTCCTAGGGGAGGAATACATAATTTTACGCATCCATGTGGGTTCTTACTTCCGATTTGAGTGGATCCAAAAACAGTCCCAGCATGTTGTTCGTGTTGAAATGGTCCTCTCCACAAGCTCCATCCAACTCGGGACCTGAGGCTCGAGAGGATGTGGCCCTGGGTCAAAAGCCAAATCGTACCCCCAGCAAACATCCCAATCCAACCACTAAAATAGGTTCTAAAATGGGTGGTGAATTCACCTAGCCCAAAACGGGATCCCAAATCGGTTTTGACAACCACAGCCAAAAAAAAACAAAAACACCTGGCCCGTTCCGCCCGAGTCCTTGCGCATCGCCGCGCTGAGGCGACCCCTCGAGCTGTCCTTCGCCGTCTCCACCTTTCGGCGAGGTCCAGAGCTCCCAAGGGATGTGGGCTGCTAGGGGCTGGGGGTCTGGAACGATTCATAAAACGTGGGGTAGGGGGCTCTAAAACCAAACTGAGTCATGTTTTTTTTTGCTGAAAATCAGTGCGGACAGCCGGCCTCTGCGGCCATTGCCATTAACGAGTCAAAACGATGCGTCCCGATTTTTGCGACAGAGGTCCGCCAATGTTTTCTGACCTGGAGGGCCAAACAATTCCCCCGTCATGGTGGTTGTGTTTTTCTTCATTCTAAAAGGAGACCAAAGCACCTGGGGGAGGGAATTGGTCAGTGATCCAAGCAGCCTTGAACTTCATGGGTTCCGTCACCTGGTTGCCATGCCAGCGCAGCCACTGGTGAAGCTTGGCGCCCC